AGGACAATACAGCCTTCTGTTAAGTAAAATTCCATACTTTTATTCTATTGTATTCTTTTTATCCGAATATTATTTTAGAAATTTTAGCACCTCTTTTATCATTACAGCCATTGAAGACTGTAGTTTAAGCAATTTAAAGCTTGTGGTTTTACAATAATTTTACTCAGAGAACGTTTGAATTTTACGTTGATTTATCGTGGCTGCAGTCCTTCTATACATTGGAACCCTGCCTTGCTGCCACCCCGTTCATACAGCCACCTCGTTATTACGCCACTTTCTACGGGCCTGAACAAAAGCTCATTCAGTCCTTTTCTTATTACAAGGACACCTTTAATACGGCCACCCTGGTAATACCACATCTTTGTGACCCGCTGTATTTTCCTACAAGAATATTTACCAATATAGCCATGGTAAGCTCTTCCCTGACATTCTTGAGTGCTCCGACATCTTCCCATGTTACATCAGGGATGGTAGCAAACCCTTCTCTTTTGGCTGACGGTTGAACTATCAGTAACGCTGCCTGGAGAACGTTTAAGAAATAGAAAATGTAGTTTTAATTCCATATATCATGTCTTAGTGACCAACAAGTTGTACCTGTTAGCTAGGATCATAGGCACGCACCGCGTGCAAAAAGATAGTTCAAATCTAGAACTTAGGCAGACAATGCATGCTGTATAAATTATTGCCTCTACCCACAGGTGTCGGTAAGCTTCTATATTTATTTCATTCAATTATTAAAATAACTTTAACTTGTGAATAATGCGACTGTCAGAAAGGAATAAACCCTTTCCAGGATTGCTAGTAGGTTTAAACACAAGGGGGCAAATGGTTGNCAACATGGAATCTATTTGTTTTATATAATAAAGAAACAGAAACAAATGCTTATGACGTCATCTACGTCTGTCCTCCAACAGATCATAAGTAAAAACCAATCGAAATGCGAGAATAATTTGACTTAACTTTACAACAAGTTATTCAGTACCTTGAAATCATCCATGCTAATACAGAGTTTTTGTAGTTCATCTTCTGTTAGTGGTGATTGCTCTCTCAGCCATTCAGTAACTGTAGTGTTAAATAAGATGTAAACAATCCAGTTTGCGCTGATTCATTTCTTGAGCGACCACTCATTATTTTCCGAACACATTGCACATGAATGAGACTTGACAGACATTACCATAAGTTTAACCCACTGACCGACTATCAGGTGTGCATG